CCCCCCGCGGCCTTCGCGCGGGCTCCAGCTGCCTTGTCTGGCCCGGCGGCCCCGCACCCAGGGGGCAGGCGAATGCCCGATTCGTAGCAGGGAACAGCTCGGTCCTTGGCTTACAGCCCCTGTCCCGGAACGGGGGTCTCGCTGTGCACCCAGCGGAGGGCTCTGCCTGAGGGGAGCCAGGGTTTGCCCCTCCAAACCAAAGAGTCTTGTCCGCGACCTGCACTTCCAAGTGGGTGACGTGGGGTCACTGCCGCAGCTGGTAGCACTGGGCGCTTCCTGAACAAAAGACTTCCGAATCGACCGATATTTTCAGTGCCCAATGTCTGTTCAAGACCAGTCAAAGCTGAAATGTCCTTGATTTGTAGGAAGCCATGAAAACCATATACAGTCCTATACAGAGACAGAAAATAAACGTGGAGACATCTGCAAAATGGGGTTCAGGTACAAAGACCGGCTTCTTCACCAGACTGCAATAATAAAACTACAGTAAGGCTATATCTATACTACCACTTAAGTTGGTATAACTTATGTTTCTCAGGGTTCATGCCACCCCCTTAAGCGACATAAGTTACACTGACCTAAGCGCTTGTGTGGATAGTGCTATGCTGGCAGAAGAGCTTCTCCCGACAACGTAGCTACCGCAGCTCTTTGGGGGGTGGATTAATTAAGTAAATGGGAGAACTCTCTCCCATTGGTTTAGAGCGGTTACACTAGAGAGTTTACAGCGGTGCTGCTGCATCAGTAGCCTAGATATGGGAGGGAAGAGAGACCTAGCTAAACTGGGACTTCAATAATTCTCTTCCCCATCATGTCATATACATTTTGGGATTTCCCATTACTGTTTTCTTAAGGCTGGTCTGTGCTACAGAGGTAGACGTAATGTAGCTTATGTGGACCCAGCTATGTCAGTGTCTACACTCCAGCCTTCCTCCCACTCATGTAAGTGCCCTACTACACCAACATAATAACTCCATCTCCGTGAGAGGTGTAAGGCTTATGTTGGTGTAGTTGGGTGAGGTAGACACTGTGTAGACATCCCCTGTCCTGTCAATTTCATGGCAGGAGCTGTGAAATTGACAAGAAAGCCCCTGATTCCCTGGAGAGCTGGGTGGGTGAACCCTGCTCCCGGCTGGGAGTCAGGGCCAGAAGTTGGGGGGGGGGGAGCAGAGAGGGGAGGGGCAGCCCCTTGGGAGCCTGTGGGGCAGCTAGACTTCTGGCAGGGAACTGTCAATGGAGCTGAGAACCAGGCTCTCAGCTCCCATGCTCAGGGGTGAAAGTAACTTAAAGGACTTACCGGTATGTCGGAGTCCTGAGCGAGGGCAGGGCCTCAACCAGAAGAGGCGGGGCCTTTCAATATGTAAACATGCTGTGGCTGGGAGTCCCAGGGCCTTTCAATACTGAAAGGCCCTGCCTCTTCTGGTTGAGGCGGCTGGGAGCCCCAGGGCTCAGGGGCGATTTAAAGGGCCCGGGGCTTTGGCCGCTGTGGAGCTCCGGGCCCTTTAAATCATGACAGGAGCTCTGCCACCGCTACCCCGGTGCGGCAGGGCTCCCATAGTGATTTAAAGGGCCCGGGGCTCCCTGCAGTGGCAGGAGCACCGGGCCCTTTAAATCCCCGCCAGAGCCCAGCTGCCAGGGTCCCAGGGCTCCGGCAGCGATTTAAAGGGCCTGGATCTCCGGCCTTTGTGGGGAGCCCTGGGCCCTCTAAATCACTGCCGGAGAAGCCGGTCTAGTCCAGCACAGCGTACCAGACCATACCGGCTTACTTTCACCTCTGCCCATGCTGCCCCTCTTAGGTTGCTGGAGGCGCTCCTGGTTAGAATGTGCACCACTGTCCCAAGAAGGATAGTGTGGACATTCGACTGTGGTGACTGTCAGTCAACCTAATATACCTCAGCTTAGGTTTCTAGTGTTGACAAACCATAAGTTTATGGAGGGGATGATATAATGGGATAGCCTAATTTTGGCAATTAATTGATCTTTGACTATTAGCGGTAAATATGCCCAATGGCCTGTGATGGGATGTTAGATTGGGTGGGATCTGAGTTACTACAGAGCATTCTTTCCTGAGTGTCTGGCTGGTGAGTCTTGCCTACATGCTCAGGGTTTAGCTGATTGCCATATTTGGGGTCGGGAAGGAATTTTCCTCCAGGGCAGATTGGCAGAGGCCCTGGGGGTTTTTCGCCTTCCTCTGCAGCATGGGGCATGGGTCACATGCTGGAGGATTCTCTGCACCTTGAAGTCTTTAAACCATGATTTGAGGACTTCAGTAGCTCAGACATAGGTTAGGGGTTTGTTACAGGAGTGGGTGGGTGAGATTCTGTGGCCTGCGTTGTGCAGGCAGTCAGACTAGACGATTATAATGGTCCCTCTGACCTTAAAGTCTATGATTCTATGTCTTTCAATAGTTCCTGAAAACATAGTCTTCCCTTCCCACTCATGGGAGTCCTGCCTGTGTACTCTGGGGAGAAGGAGGTGTGGATCAGAATACTTAATCCTGCACAAGTACACCAGTGGACATTTTTTCTTGATGTTGTGTTCTGAAATTCTCAGTCTTTGTTAAATTTTCTAACAAGCACCTTCTTGCTTTCTTCCATGCTATCCCTCACATTTGAGAGGAGCTCCGAATAAACATCAGCACAACACACTCATTATTCTCCTACAAAACCCCGTTAAAATTTCTCCTTTGCTGTGATGCCTACAAAAAAACAAAACACCCCAAACAAACTTGACAGTTGCTGATGTGCTGAGACCACTGCTTATGATACTGACCATTATTGTCTCTGTTTCCTTGTACTCACCCACCTGTCTGCAACCATTTGTTGTATATTTTCTTATACTTAGCCCATGCCCCAAAGAGCTTACAATCTATCTTTTTAGTTCTGAGTTTGTATGATGCCTAAATACAATGGGGTCATAATCCGTGTTCTCTCTCATTTTTTCCATCCATGTCTGGAATGAATTTTGTTATGGGCACCAATATCGATGTAATGTGCAAATGTGCACCACCAGTAGAAACAAAAAACCTAGCTATAATATATATTTTTAAAAAGTTACCATAGGGATAATTACTCCAGCCAGGACAGGTTAGGCACTTTAGAACTCAAAGAATTAAATTTAAGCGTAAGAGAGAAATAAAATTATGAAATGCATTGATCAGTCAAAAACCTAAAATAACAGCACTTTGAAAGAATAAAATTACAGAGAATATATGTGCATTGCAGGAAGTACCAAGCAATAACAACAACACAAGTATGTGTTGGGAGGTGAGTTTGAAAGAGACTGTGTGTGGTTGTATATGTGTGTAAGAGAGAGAGAGAGAGACACAGAGACAGAATGTGTGTGTGCTGGCTGCTGGGGAAGTCTATGAGAGACCCTGTGCTGTCTCTTTAAGACACTCACACCAGAAGGCTCAGACAGCAGCAGCTGAGCTCTCTGCTCCTGAGCCCTGTGTCCCCCCCCTTGCTCTGCAGAGATGGGGTACATGGGTGGGGGGCACCCTGACAGCGCCCCCTTATGCGCACACACACACACACACACACGCTCTGCACAGCAAGCAGGAGGGTCCCGGGAGCAGCTGGCAATGGGCTCCAAGGCAGAGGGCAGGAGCAACGCGCACCTGAACACACAAGCTGCCGTGTGTGGCTCTGCAAATC